TGTTCAATAAACATGATATCCACTACTCATCTCATTGATCTCCAAGAGCTCGCAGTCTTACATAGGAAATCAAATATTCACAAACAGGAAAAATTCTTTCAAATCTTATTAGAATATTCTCCAAGTTCACGAAAAGAAAACTTGGAAGGTGATAGCTCGAGTTGGATTAGCCAAATTCGCAATGGAGCGCCTGCTGCTCTTCGTCCTTCAATCCCTTTTTCCCGTCTTGAGCAATTCTGTACGTCCTAATACGTTTGATTGCATGCCTTCCTTATACTGATCGTTCTTGCTCACCTGCTCTCTACACGTGGTTTCCATATGTGTAGCCTCTCCTACACTCGGATTGGTATACGATACCAGTGACTTAGCTGAAGAAGGAAAATGATCAAAACTCATATAGTTCATTAGTTTAAGAGTAAGATGACAGATTGAATACTCTTTTTCTGTCGTATGGGAGAGGAAGAAAGGAAATGGACTGGTAATCAAAAGGTACTTCGACCATCTTCTATTGACTCATTCATGAAATGTTTGAAGATGGAAATCGTGTATGGTTTCATTTCGGTGAGGTGGTGTTCCTCTTCTTCAATCTTCCTACGTGCATAGGATGAGGCTTATTTCGGGATTGTCAGTTTTCTTGCTAATTCGTTCAGGTTTGTTTTCTGTTGTTGATAATTTCCAATTTTATCAGAACAAATCATATATTTCAGTTTATTCTTTGAATTGTTACATAAGCGATGGTTTTGAAGGAATGTCTAAAGTACAAGAACGTGTTTGTGTTGGGAGCAAATGTGCCAAACGATCTGTTGTTCTAGACAGTAAGATCAGTGATTGTTAGAAACAGTTCCCATTCTGTTTGTTTTAAGATGGAATGGTACGCATTCAGAAGTTCTGTCAGTCATCTGATATTAGACCTGGTTGTCGAGCAGCAATTCTTTGGCAAGGACTGCCGGTACGATATTGAAGGATGTTGATTATTCTTTGTGTCTTTTCAGGGAGAAGAATGTGTTTGTGATGATGGAGACTTCTGTAACCTCTGCAGTAGATTCTTGTATACTCCGGCTATGTTAGGATTTCTGTTTGTTTCATTATATGTGATGGTTACATTGTAATTCCAAAAGATGTTTCCATACAAAAATTTATAGAAAATGACAAATTCTTGTTAATTGATTGAGCTTTTAAACAATAAAACTGGAAATCTCTTATTACAACCCGTTACTTGCATTGTCACAGAATGTTTCTTTCAATCAAGAAAATAAAATACATTTTTGAATAAAAGTTTTGGCACTTATGTTTAGAACTATCTCTATGAGCTGTTGTGAACAATGACTTCAAGGGTTCAGTGTTGTCATTACAGGCAAAACTGTGGCGGTGGCTGTTCCGTTTCCAGTCGCTTCTTTTGCTTCTTTATTTTCTTTTGTATTCCATAATGTGCGATACGTTAATACGAGGTTATGTCCTAAGTTCGTGAAGCTGTTGGGTCTGGCAGGCGTGTGACGTCCGTCAAGATCTCCGTTGGGAGATCGTGTCCGGGCACGTCTTTCACTACATCTACTTGTTCCTCCGCCGGAAGGACCGATACGTTTCGAACTTGAAAGAAAGATATTAAAAAGTGTTAAATTATTTTCGCAACCTAGTATTTCTTTCTAATTGTCTGGTCAAAGCATTAGCAGCCGCTGTTGATGTTTCCAACAAAGCTGATGATGTTGTCTGTTGCTCTAGCGATACACTGTGTCCATAATTATCCAGCCATGATTGTCGACGTCCTCGAGCCGAAGCACCAGAGTGAGCAGAATCATCAGAAATATCACTTCCGCCTTAACGTGGGCGATTAAGATGCAAAGTGCGTGAAGAAGTGTTACCTATTCTAATACTCATGTCACTTTCCAGCGACCCACGACTATCACGAGATTCTCGACGACCGCGATCTTCTAATCGTCCATCAGCAGAGAGGAATGACATTTTCCTGAAGGAATTCCTATAACGAAGCAAACTTAAATAAAAAGTTTTGGGTTTAAAACTCAAACGCTGCACTTGTGATGACAGAAAACAACAAAAACGAACTTAAGTTGAGGAAAAGTTAAGGGAACGAAACTAAAAAGTAATGGAATCGTGTGGAAATGTGGACGAAACGAGGCCAAAGATACGGATGATTGTAAGTGCAGAGTGCTTGGGTGAAGTAGATCGGCCATTCGAATCTTAAAATCTGATTTTGCTGTCGTTTGTGTCAAAAACGAAAATCAGACTTCCAGATGACGTTATGCAGCTTTCTCATGCAGTTATGAATAATTATTAAAAAAAAAGCATATTAATGTGCCATAGAAGCTTTGAACTTTTACAAATCTATACCTTGAATCACTACTGAAAGATGGTCGAGCTGCACTAATCATAACTCGAGGTAGATTAGTGCTCGACATTGAGACTAAACGGCTTCCGAGTCGTCTAGAAAATCGACATAATCAGTTTTTAGACAATAAATGATTGCAGCTTATATCCTTTTCTGCGAAAAATTATTAAGAAAATAAGCTTATGAATCGATATCTATCCAAAGAAATCTTGAAAGAATCTGGATACGGGCAAAGCTTGCATAGATTGGTTGAAGGTATGAAAATTAAATAAAAAAAAGAGGAAGAAGTAAGTAAAAATGCAGAAATGGATCAAGCGTTGCACTAACTATACTAGTATTGATTGAATTCATATAAGAAAATAAAGATTCAAAAGAAAAAAATAATTAATAGTATGAGAGAGGAATCAAACAAACCCTTGTCCCAATTGATTATGAAGAGCATGACGATCATCTTCCTCATACCGTATTTGCTCAACAATATCTAAAAGTATCCGAACACTTGACATGACATCATCAAATTGTGCAGATCTGTAAAAGGAGAATTTGTATTTGTTGTTTATGAACATATTTCAATACGTAAGTTCTTTCTGTGAAAGTCCAATACATAATGGATTAAGTAAATGAATACAAATTTGCTGGGGATCACGTAAACGCACAGGATCTCTTGTGACGATTCGTTGAATTAGACCTTTAATAGAGAAATATGTAAAATATCTATATAAATGTATATATTAAAGAATAACTCACGTGATTTGGCATGTACAATGGCATGATGTTGAGAATTACATAGAGAAACACATTGAAGGAGATCATGTAAAGCTGCAGCATCACATCGATCAGATATTGAGACTAACGACACTAATAAATCCAATTGACGCTTCAAATTATTTTTTCTTTATTTCTCATTCTATTCATAGATTTTCCTACCGGAACATTATCGTGCAGATATGGTGGAAGACACATTATGGCTGGCATCAGACGTCGACAAATGAAAGTTAACGGAAGAAATTCTGTTACATGTGGTAGTGAACGAATGGTTGTCGCCTGAAAAATGAAAATGCTTATATGTACATATGTGTAGAAGGAATACAAACCTGTAGACTTGTATCGTCTGATTTGAGCGAATGCACAATGATATCCATACATTTGTCTTCTACTTTCTCATCGGAGAGACGACGAAACATGGAACTCATGTTTTCAAGAACAACTGGCCGAAGCTGAAAAGAAGAAGAAGCTTAAATGAAGAAAAGATGTTGTTAGTTAAGTAACTTTTAGGAATTACCATCCATGAAGCTATTAACTAGGCAAAAAAAGATGAAAAGAGAGAGAAAGAGAGAGAAAGAGATAGAGAGAGAGATAGAGAGATAGAGAGAAAGTGAGCACAAATGACAAAAAAGGAGTTAAAAAACATTTGTGCATGGATGAAGATAGAAGTTGTATAGAATTGTAATGACAAAAGATGAAAACATACAGAAGATTTCTGTCCTTGGGCGTGGTCAACAATCTTTCTCATCCATGGACGTAATTTATGAAAATTATGACTTTCACAATGTTCCAAAATATAAAAAAGCGGCTTAGCAACTGACGGATAAAACTCTGGTCGTTCATAAAATTGATCATTTAGTCGTGATAAAGCTCTTGAAAACCATAAATTCTTTAAGAAAAATTGAATTAATTTAAATAAAAATTAAATAATAAATACTTCCGGAATGTTTGGTAAAGCTGCAACGAATGTATGTGAAAGGAAATGAACGACATTCGATGGATCAAATACTTGTCCTATATCATCGAGCTGACGTAAAGCTGATAGAGCTGGATCATTAAAATGTGGAATCTGTATAATTAATACTTATTATATATATATAAATAAATATAAATAATATACCAAAGCTAGTAATTGAACTGTGGGACGTGAGCGAACATCTTGGCTTAACACTAATTGCATTGATTCCCGTAAATTCGTTCCTAGTTCATCAGCTATACATGTTAAGGCTGCATCAAGCTTTAAACATATTCAGTTAAGCTTATCCATACACTCTTTCTCTCTCTCTCTCTCTTACTCTCACTATATGTTAGAGATTACCTGATCAACTATGATAGCATGAGTATCCAGATTGTTTTTAGCATCGATCAATCGCTTGCCTCCTTTAATGTATGCATTCTTTCAATTTCTTGCTTCAATGTTATTTACCTGCATATATCCAACATATTACTAATCCCAATGAAAATACATCAGCAGCAGATGTTACGTGCGTCTGATTTGATCGTAAATATTCTGGAGCCAGAAAATCGAGATCCGGTTGTAAGCTCGCCGGAAGCTTTTTTGTCCACGGATAACACGGGTAAACATTCTGGAATTACGTGAATTACACATGGCATCTCATTTGCAAGCTTCATTATTCATTTCTCTAAAGAAGACGCATAGAAGAGCGGTTGTATTGTCTATATCACATGTTGACATCTTTTGAATTTCAGATTTGGACGAATGAACGACTCACAGGTTCACGAGCAGCAACAGCAAACGATAAGCCGGCTATTTTCCATTGTCTTGAACATGTAACATAAATTGCCGCAGGCGTTAAGTTTCCATGAAGTATTTTTGCTGAATTGTGCAAAAATGCCAAGCCGTCGATGATCTAAGAGAGAATGTGAGAGCAAAGAGTATTATAGAGAAGTAGTCAGCTAAACCTGTAGAATGCCCAATTTCATTTCCAAACATTCAATTCCTTCTTCTATGACTATGTTCTCCAATGTAGTATGGATGGGCTCTGTAGCAAATGCCATCATATCTCTGCAATCATATAGAGAGTTAGTATAAAGAGAGAGAGAGAGAGAGAGAGAACTTGTTATCTTCCAATGCATGCAGTGAGTGTAGAATGCGTGGATGAGCCAATTGACATAATTGTGTTACTTCATATCTTAATATAGATTATATATAAATATATTTTATATGATATAGTTACTTAAGCAAGTCGGCCAAAGCAAACTTGTTGACACGTCCAATACGTGGCGGAGCTTTAACATTATTTTTCCGTTCAAATACAAAAACCGAAGCTTCCTTAAATGGAGAAGTAAAAGAAATTATTTTTGATGTCTTAAGCTTCATTATGTATTCTATGTATACGTCATTATGCATCAAAAATCATCTTAATTATACATATATAGACATTATACCTTGTCACTTATCAAGCTTTTAGCTCCATACACTTTCCAATGAGCTGCTTGAAAACGATATTCTAATTGACCAAATGATTTATCCAATGGCGTCATTCCACCATTTGATGGTGGCGGACTGACTGCCGTCCGGTTTGGAACCATGGCCAGTTCCTGAAAATTAAATGAAATGAATAAAATGCAAATATGAATGAAATTGTAATGTGGAGTATATATTAATTAATTTTCTTTTTTAAATTAAATACGAGCCAATAATGAGGACAGATGAAGCTGAAAGGTTTTTGGGACAGTTCAAGCGAGAGAAGTTTCTCTCCGAGCTGAAACATTTTTTTTTTAAAGTTCAAAACCCAGCAATAGCAGAAATAGAGAGAGAGAGAGAGAGAGAGAGAGAGAGAGAGAGAGAGAGAGAGAGAGAGAGAGAGAAACACAGAGGACCATTTTCATCCATTTCATTCTATCTATCTA